TGGACCAGTGTGCCGCAGACAGCACAGCGCCGATGGGACGAAAAGATTGGCATCAACTGTCTTCTTTTTCTGGCAAAACTGAACTGCCCTGATTTCCATTATTAGATATTCTCTTTTTTACTTTTGCTGACAAACAAATGAATAAAGTAGCCACAGAAAGTTCCCTCCGTGTTGTATACAGTCAACAAACAAATGCCTCTATAGATTCAGTCAGACAGCAGTCATTCAGTTAATGGCAGAACTTTAGCCTCTCCCAGCTGAAACACATTATTATGTCCATTACAGCCATGTTAGTATTATTGATAGCTGGTCACAACTAATCGCCCCATGCTGCACAAGGAACACTTAGCAGCATGCTTCAGGTCCAGAAAGGCGTATGACAAATGGCTTCATATTTATAGCCAATTGTTAATCATTTTATTCATTTCTTCTTTTTTTGCAAGTTGTGGGGAGTGAGGATAGTCTGTAAATCAGAGCATTGTGAGGTTATTGGATAAGTTTAAGACACACTGATCATATCAGAAATTTACATGGCAATTAGTCAGCTTTCTTTCTTCATCTTCTTATTTTTTGATGGCAGTTGTGTTGTTAAATGCATCATTTTGTAACTTTTGTCATCTAATTAATGTCCACAGCATCTTCTCTACATCAAATCTCAGCACACAAATCCCCGCTCTCTAATGACAACTGGCAGCCTTAAATATGTTCAGCTGTCACAGACTAACCCATTCTTCCACTCTCAGGTAAATTCTTAAATCCCAACCTTCCACCACAGTATACAATATATCAATTAGAATAAATAAATACATAAATATTCTAAATATTTCACACATTAATTTTACACCAAACCCAATATTATAAAAACCCAGAAACCCCGAGCACAAAAAGATTCACCACACTCTCTTCACCAATGGTCTCTCCCGGAACCTTTAAATGGTGTCTGGACCCCCAGGGAAACATCTTACGAACACTTATTTGCACCACTTTTATTCCTAGATTTCACACACACATTTGCATTAGTTTTCCTTACTGGTAAACCTTAATCACAATCTCAATCACCATTCTTCTCTCCTGACAGACAACCACCACATTCCTTGATGAGAAGCAGCTGTGCAGGATCTGAAATAAGGTTAACAACTGATTTTAAAATTCCCAATAAATAGGCAATAAATATTTAAACTTCTTGTGTGCAAATCCATGCTTAAAGTGCAATGCTAAATAAAGTGCTTGATAAGGTGTGTTTAATAAAGTGAAAGGTGTGCTTTAAAGTGCTATACAGATAATATAATATAAATAAATGTAGTAAGGGAGTCCTCCTCCTTACAGGGATATAAAGTAGGAAAACACAGAATAGGAGCCCTCTGCTGTTGCTTCCCCAAAAGATTCTTTGTATTCCCTGGGTATTCATATCTATTTAATCCGACTGCCAGTATATGTCATGGGTTTTTTTTTTCATCTCCTATGAAAACCAGAGCAGATTACAAATAATTTCTCCCAGTGCCTGCACGAATCTTGATGTGAGCTCAGTCTTGATGTCCTCCAAAAATCACACTCCACAGAGATAGTTTTTCACTGCAGAATAGCTGTGAGAGAACAAACGCCTGTGGCTACATCATCCAATTAGCATCTTTCGTCTCTTCTCTCCTCCCTTCTGGTACTGTCAGTCTGTCTCCCCTCTTATTCATTCAACACATAGTTAACTGGAGCAATCTGCAAATGTCTTTACATATACACAGCAACTGCAACCTGAAAGACATTGCTTGGTGTGATTTTAATCAGTGGTATCAATCTTGAGTACCTTTTAAGTATAAATAACACCCACTGTATGTCAGTAAAATGAACATGTTGTGTTTGCTGTAGCAAATGAGAGCAGTTGCAGACTTAGCAGTGGGGAATAGTTGTGCTTGAGGCCTCTCGCGTTCACATTGTCCCAGTGTGTGTGTGTTTGTGTGCCTGAGCGTGTGTTTCAGGATATAAATAGAGTTGCTCCACCATCAGAAAGCGGTGCTATAGGGTAGATGCCAGTCGTCGCCTCAAACTAGCCCAACCCACCCCTGTCCTGCCTGACCCCTGAGTGCCGGCACTGTGAGCATATGAGGGCCAAAATTGTTCTAAAAGCAAACAAGATGAAATGTCAAGCAGTATGCAATATATGACTGGGTGCTACTACAACAAGTTTTACTTTTAAGTTATGTGAGAACGAGTGTTTAATTTAAGCTGGAATATATCAGTCTTAAATGACGTCCAATTAACACCAGATGAGGACTGTTTAGAAACAAACTTTACATGATAGGTAATACTGTCAGGATGAGACTTCATATCTGGTTGTTTGGATCTGGATCCCTCAGACAGCTTCCCATATGCTCATAAATCATGTTAAAAACAAAAAGGTCAAATGGCGATGTTAATGACAAGAAACTGCTGGTAAATTTCAGTCAAGTGTGTAGAGATGAACCTTCAGGGGATGCTTCTGTTCTGCCCCGTTACATTCTTGACTGACAGCCCGGCTGCGTCTTCTGACAATCATACGTATGTCAAAAGACGCAGCCAGCGTGGGTACAAATTAATAGCAATAAAAACCACACAAAAAAAACTGAAACAATGGATGAAGCATCTTAACTGGTAATAGGCAAATACAGAGGGGAAAGTGGAGCTTTAGCCAAAGATGGAAGCTATTTGGTCAGAGTATCTGGAGTGACTCCAATCTCATTTTGCTGTAAGCACAGATGTTACTTGTGCATGCACAATGCTTCATTTTCAGTGAGGGGGCAATCTCGCTACTTTTTATTCAGCACTGTTTTCTCTGTGTTGGCAGTTAAATGTCATCCATAATTTACAGGCATTATTTAACAGCGGAGATGGAGAATTTGATTAAAATGAAGATGGACGGATGGACGGATAGATAGATAGATAGATAGATAGATAGATAGATAGATAAGACACAGCTATTCCAGTTACAGTTTGAAGACAGATAATTGCACTCTCACAATTGGCTTCGAATAAATACTTGCTTCGAGCGTGTATTATATATTCATGGAGTTAATAACATGGATGTCAGCTCACTGCTGCAGTGAGAGGTGCCTGCATGTCAAAGTTGGTTACACTTCTCTTTGACATGAAGCTGTTTAATAAAACAGAAGCACTGCACAATTAAATTGACTTTCCTTAGATATGTGCCACCTGCAGCTAGGAAAAAAAACAGCAACAACAGCAATATAATATGTAGGTAGGATCGATTGTGAGGCTGGAGGGCATCACAAAATCACGGACAAACCAAGATGCAAAACAAATATTTCAAGAGTTTTGCTGTTTGCTTTATATATTTCATTGTATCTGATATTGTCTGGTCCTAAAGCCTCTATATGTTATGCAAATTCAAATCCTTTGCATGATATTGTGGGACGATTTTGATTGCAATCTTGCATATTTCAACAGCTACTAATGTCCTTTCTCTCATAAAGTTTCCCAGGAGCCTAACTATTGTTTGTTTGCTGAAATGAGAAATAGTTTCAGATTAATCACTTCTTTCGGATCCTGCAGAGCCTCGTGTTCACCTCCAGCTTGAATGACTGGCAGAAACAAAGTGTGATGAACACCCATATCCATTTTTAAGGTCATAGTGGTGCATTCAAGCATATATATATATATTTAAAAAGCCTAGAAAAGACCCTGTGGTTATTTGTTCTGCTTTTACTTTCCAATTCCTCCTACACAAAACCAGCAGAAACTGACTGCAAATTTCCCCTTCATATAATCATGTGTTTCTACAAGAGAACACAGGTGTCGGGGCACATTTCCTATGAGCTAACACTTAATTTTCCTGTGTTCAAATTTTATAGCATTTTGCATGAAATGCCTCTCATGGTCCTGGGTCTTTGAACAAGTGTTTTTGAGTTTATTACAACTTTTGTTTATTTATATATTTTCTATTTGAGTTTGCTTGGTGGTTATATTTACAACTTTATTTATTTGCTTAGGGAATTTACTCGTAAGTTCTTACATCCTCTTTGCATAACAGTTTAATTGTTCCCGCAGTGCTTTTTGTTCCATCCACTTGTGTCACTTCCCCTATATTAAGTTCGCTTACATGTTTGTTTCCCTGTTTAGTTATCACTTCCATTCTCACTTCAGTCACTTGTGGCAGTTTTTTATTTCTAGGATCTTACGTTTAGTTTTACCTTCTCTCCTGTGTCGTTGTCTTTGATTACTATCACCTACATCTCGTTACCCAGCTGTGTTCACTCACCCCCTTAATTGCTGTCTTGTGTAAAGGGAGGTCAGTGTCCCCTTTAGTCTTTGTCACATCGTGTTCTCCCAGCTATCCAATCGCCTCTGCTTATCCATTTCAGGGTTGCGGGTAGGTGGCTGTAACCTATCCTGGCCGCCGTAAGCTGAGAGTTGCCAGCCTGTTTTGGGGCTAACACAAAGAGACAACCACTGATACTTGCATTCACACCAACATCCAATGTAGAATCACCACTTAAGCTAATCCCAATAACTGCAGCGGCATCCCGAGAGAACTCACACTGACATGGGGAGACAATAAACTAGAAAGGCTCCAGCCAGATGGTGTATTTGAACCAAGGACCTTCTTGCTGTGAGAAAACAGTACTAACCACTGTTCTCAACCAGCTGCTTTGTACTTTAGATTCAGTTAGCTTGCCCAACTTTGTGTTGGATTTTGTTATTAACTTTGTTGGCTTTGGAAATTGCAATTGCAAAAATAAAGGTTAGTGTTTTGTTACATTTTTTTTTTTGCACTTTTTAAAAACACAACTTTAAAGTGTTGTGTTGCATTTTTGTTGTGTTTAATTGTGCTTAGTGCCAACATGGACAGTTTCCAATTTCGTTGTACTATTGTACTAAGTATGACTGTGAAATGACAGCAAAGAGTTATCTTATCTTATGTTATCTTATCTCACTTGTGTCATCCTAATAGCCAGCATTTTGGGTCTGTGCTTTGCAATTCATGACACAAAACAAAACGAAAAGAATTCCAATTAATTAATAACAAACACTTTATTTAAGACACACTTTTACAGTTTATTTGTTTCTTATTCTTATGCTGAAATGAAGTTCATGTAAAACCTTGATACACAATGGTATTCATGACAATCGTAGTCTTGCAACACTAAAGTACTTAACAAGAAATGTAAATCTATAGCATCCACCACTGAAGAGATATGTACAAAAAACTCATGAATACAAATACTCCAAACATGCCATTTCTCAGCATGAATAAATAACGTCAGTGTACTTCCATTTGTAATCCTTCATACGATGTTTATTCCCGAATCAAAGCTAGAACTACCTCACCTGATAGCCTTTGCCTTTGATATAACATGTAGGATCAAAGCCTTAGCATCAATTAGCTTAATCTGTCTACAAAGCAATTTAAACATCTTACAGTAAAAATAAGGCGAGTAACCCCCAAGTTTCAAGTTCTCCTTCTTCTCCTGAAGAAATCTGAACAAGATCAGTGTTTCACAGTTCACATGAAGGACCAGACTGGCATAAAAATAGAAAGAGAGAAAACCACTGATCTACAGAACACACTGTTGCAGATCAGTGAACCAACTCGAGTGGTAATCTTTCAGGTCATGACACCTGTATGCACTGTTCCAAACAAATGAAACTGAATTTAAAGTCAGCAGAGGAGTCAGTTTTTCTGCACTCTCACAGGGCTTTAAATGTCATGTAGCAAAAAAAAAAAGGCATTAAAAAACATTACATTCAAAACCTGATGAAAAGCTGTAACCTGATGCGAAAGACGAGGTCAGAACTTTATCTCCATAAAACAGATTGTACCGGTGTCACCGTTCAGAGAACGAGGTTTTTCATTACAGCAGCATGCGTCACTGTTTGAGCAGTCGTCTGTTTGCACCAAACAGATTAGAGGACGGATGATGACCATGAAACTACTGTATCTGACATAACACTTTCCCTCAGTCCTAAAACTCGTTCATTTAAAGTCACTTAATTCGATTTAAATCTGAGACAATGGATAAAAACTGGGATTTAGCTGCGCTCCTACTCTGGAGTTCATAATTTCCTCTTTTCCTATTGCACCGTGTATAGAAATGAATTGCTTGAATTAATTACCGAGAATATTTTGTAAACCTTCCCCACTTAATATTCAAAAACGTACACTTCTTTATTCAAACTTTGTACATACGCTAAAAAATGTGCTGTTCAACACTGTTCTTTTCTAGCTTAGAGCAACTCTCAAGTTTTACGAAGTATCCATGAACAAAAAAAAAGTCTTTCCAATAAAAAAATTAAAAAAAATCTAAGGTTTTCAGGAATTCTTGTACTCGGGTCCTTGTGCAAACTGAGCTCTCTTTGTTGAAGGTAAAATGCCACGGGTCAGCCCTCTGCAGTTCTCTGTTCGAACCGGGCTAACGTCACATCCCTTTTCAGACACTTTAGCACATGTTAAGCCATTCAGATGAATCAATAAATTATAGTGCTTGACACAGTAACAACTCCCAAACAGAGCTGCAGCATGAGAAAATCCACAAATGTTTTTCCCGATGTAATATGACAATGTGGAGTGCGACCGGAATATTTAACACCTCTATGAAGATGACCCAAGCAGACTTAAAAAGAGAAACAACATGCTTGTAAAGTGTTTCTAATTGGAAGTCCGCTGTGGGGGAAAAAAAGCCTGTTTTTTTTAAAAAGCTTTCTCAAAACGATCATGTTCTCAGGATGTATTCTGATGTCAACCTCATAAATCCATCGTGAAAAACATAATATGCAACGAAAACAGGAACCTGAAACTCAGCAGGAGCCAATTCAACAGCGAGGAGCGCCACAAACTGTGCCGAGCAATAATCTAATTTGACTTTTAAAAGAAACAACTTTTAAATAAAAATCTGATGACACGTTTCAAGTAAACAGCTTAAAATAATTAGTTTCCTTTTAGATGTATCAACATCACTTTGAAGCATCTTCACGGCGTGGAATAATTGGAGGTGTCACATTTACATTTTCAAACATTAACCTGATTATGTACATTCCACATATCTGTCAAGCATCTCTATTTACAAGATGCACACATGTTTATGTACTATTTTAAGACAGACAACAGAGATTTGTCCTGCATTTTAGCTAAATTCAAAAAAGCCTAACTTTGAAAGTATTCCTAAATATGCAATAAATAATGCAGCTTTCAATGGTGCCGAGCGTCTGTAGGACAGAAATACAGCAGAAGGTTTTTTTCTCTTTTATCACTGCCTCTGTATTTATAGCCACTGTTACAATATTCATTTTCTGCCTTATTAATATACATAATTTTAATCTCTGCTGCGTAACACTATTGTCAGTATTGTGGTTCACTAAAGGAAAACGTTTGCTTGATCTGAGATCTGCTTGATCTCTCTTTTTTTCTTTTACGACTAAAATTTGCAGGGCTGAGTGTTAAACAAAGCCTACAGCTAAGATCTACTCATTCTCTCTGCCTCACTTCTACATTTTTAATCCCTTAATAAGTGAATTTTACTGGATCATAGGATCGTCGTTGGGAGAGGCCAGAGTCGGGACGCTAACAAACATCTGGGATTTGTCCTGGCTCTGGGTTGTGCCGCTGTTGGACACCGTAGTGAAGGAGAGTTGATCGTGTTCCAAAATGGCGAGGCGGTCGACCGGCTTCTCCTTCTTCAGGTAGAACATTTTCCTGAGCTGCTTCAGTTGTTGCAGCTCACAGAAGGTCTCCAGCACCACTAGCATGACTATGAGGCCCAAGATCAGGTAGACTGATGAGACAAAAAAAAATAAGGATTAGGAGGCATATGAGTAATGATCTGCAGTGCTTAGTGTAATTAACACCATATTAAAAGCATTTTCTTTAATCCTGATGTGAAATCACTTCCCCTGGATTTAAATAGAGGTTTAAAGCCTGACTTAATCTCATACCTGCAGCATATTTATCATTTATAATGCAGCATATTTTTTCAGCATGGTAGCTGCAGATGATGTTTTGCTACTTGATACAAAGCCAGTGGATTTACTCATAAACACTGTTGTTTTATGGATCAACACAAGAGGGCAGTGCAAACCATCCATGTTAACAAAAACATGGAGCATGCTTTAGAATGAAACAAAGAGAAAATGGAAAGGATAGTGTAACACTGATAGTTGGTGGTTTTTTCCATATCAAAACAGAGCCTGGCATTTGTAGGAAATGCTATTCTTTACTGTTTTTATCAGTTTAAATGCACACATACAGAATGCACTGAATAGTGCAAATCCCGAGTGCAACTCACAGAAGGAGTGGCTGCTTAACCCCAAAGGCAAGACTGAAGAGATTTTAGCAAATGAGGTAGTTTGTTCAGTATATACTAAACAAAACGCCTGCTGTTTTTTAGTTGTTCCACTTACATCACAATGGTAACACAGTTATGGTCATATCACTTCCGATGCATGTAATTCTTCACAGAGGAAGTTGTACGAATGTGTCTGGAGCCATTCATGCAAACAGACACGTTCTGTTCCTGCCTCGTCTCCTCCTACAGACTGGCACATTGTGCCTACAAATTGACGTCTATTTCTCTCTCTCTCTGGCTCTCTGACCACACACCCACATCACAAATGCTGGAGACAGTCGAGTGGAATAACATTTGACATTCGTGTGCATGCACTCCCTGATGAGACTCTATGGGTTTAAACTGAATTTCACTTTTTTGCACTCTTAACTTTGACGGTGCTGCTAAGAATATGCTGCACAAGACAACCAGAAAATGCAGGCAAGACCTTCCTGCTGTCTCCAGTAGGTTATCGTCCAGATTTAAAACTGCTCTAACCTTGTTTATTAGAATAACTAATATGGCTTTAAACACATAAAAAACATGCATATAACTGGCAATTTTAACTGAAGGTTTTAAGAAATTGAATGTGCAGACTCAAGTAGAAGGCAGTGATTACTTCTACTTTACTGTAGAAAAAGCTATATCCTAGACACCACGTGTATATGGCCCTTCTTTGATGATGACATAAAACCTACCTGCCTGTAATTCTGATGCATCCACTCACAACACGGCGCATGGTGTAATTTTCACAAACAGGTCAAAGATAGACCCAGCTAACTGTGTCACAAAGAGGCAGATCAAAGTTGGCCATATTAAAACCCGCTAAAAGTGATTTTTCTCACATCGGAAAAATAACAGCATTCGTTCTGACACATTTGCAATTTAAATGAAGTGAAGCCTGTGAGCTAATTTGGGCAGGCAACTGGCTCACCCACACATAACACTGCTCTGCTTTCATCGTACCAAACACGCCCTCCTGATCTGCTGGTCTATTTAAACAGCATAAGTTCCTGTCTCACCCTCTGACGTGTTAGTCCTGTTGCTGCCCTGCATTATCTGCTGTTTTATCCCTTACACCACCCTCAATTTAATCCATCCGTGATAATGAGCTCAAACTCTGGCCGTATTCTACAGCTGTTATTTCCAAATGAGAGTTGAACAAATAAAGACAATCTCTTTAGCATATGTTACACATTCTGACACTATGTGTGACTTGTTGAGGCTCTTTCCTCACTTTATAGCTTAATTAGGAAGCGAGTGCTGTTTTTAAGTGCAAACAAAGCAGGTCCTAGTTTATGAAGGATGTTGTAATTTTGAGAAACAGAGGCACTAAGAACGATACCGTAATCCAAAAATGTATTTTCTTAATAGTGATTAGACCAAAATAATAGATCTACAGAATAATTTAGTTATATAATATCACTAAAAAAACCTCTGATAAGAATCAAAGTGGACAGTTAGCTACTAACACTCTCAAAAGCGACACTCACCAGTGATGCCCACTTTGTAGAGCTCCCTGAACTTCTGATTGGCAGCCTCTCCGGGCACGTAGTCTCCGAGGCCAATGGTGCTGAGCGAAATGAAGCAGAAGTAGAAGGACTCCAGGAAGTTCCAGTTTTCTTCCAGCGCCGAGAAGATGGCAGCAGGGATAAGGAAGAAGCAAGAGACGGCCAACATGGCGAGCACAGTGGCATGAACAATGGCCACCAGTGGCTTGGACAGGCCCCAGTGTGTGTGGATGTACGTGATCGGCCTCCGTGTGCTAAATACCATGATCCGTTGCACCACAGCAGTGAGGAATAGAAGGGTGAAGGGGATGCCGATCATGGAGTAAATAATGCAGAAGGCCTTCCCGCCGTCTGAGAGTGGTGCTGTGTGCCCATATCCTGCAGAGGAAAAACATTAAGACCATCAAAAGCTGCAGAATAATGTAGGATTGCAACGCTTCTGTAATCACTGCTATAAATCATAGTCTGTTGTTCTTTCTCCTGCCACGTCAGGTGTGACTGCAGGAAAGAACCACGCAAATATTTACCATGAAAGGCGATCTGTAAATGCACTGTAAGATTGTAGCTTGTTTGCATTTCATGGGAAGAGAGCTCAATTTAACTAACAGCAACATCCTGCATCACAGTTACTGAGTAAAACAAACATTTGGAGGATATAAAAGTTACGACTTCTTTTTTTAGTATTTTGTGGCACGCAACAAGTTTCCTTTATTTTTTTTAATGCAGTTTGTCTTGGACTTCAATCTAAATTTAAGATAACTGAACTTTTTTTTTTTAAATTTCATTTAAAAAAGTATATATATGAGCTAATTTTGACTTTTACAGCAGCAACAGATCTCAAAAGTCTGAAAAGTGAGTAGTATTTTATTCCAACTAATTACATTATTTGGCAACAGGTAGGTAACATGCTTGGGTATAAAAAGAGCATCTTATAGCGGCACAGTTTCTCAGAAGTAAAGATGCAAGAAACTGCATCTGTAATCTGTGGAACAATCTTAGAATAATGTTCCTAAACGTAAGACTGTGACGACTGTAAACATCTCATTATCTACACAGTACATAGTGTCATCAAAAGAGTCTGAAGAAGTCTCTGTGTGCAAGAGACAAGGCTACAAATCAGTAGCAGACTTCTATAATCTTCAAGCACTCAGGTGAAACTGCAATAAAAACAGGAATGATTTTGTTGTCACAATCACTGAATCTGCTCAGGAACACTTCCAGAAATCATTGTCTGCGAGCACAGTTTTCAGGTTAAAGTAGGTCCTGTCTGAGCCAAATCTCATTTTGTAAGTTTGTAACAAACGTAACAAAAAAATGTTATGTTTAAAAACAAAAACAAAAGAAAAAACATGGATACTGGATCCTCTGGATTACAGAGGAGAGGGACCATCTGGCTTGCGATCAGTTCAAAAACCTGCATCTCTGATGGTATGGGGGTGCAAACCCGTGACTATGGAACTGACATTGTGCACATCTGGGAAAGCACCACAAATGCCAAAAAAGTATGTCTCTGCAGCTGGTCTCCTCCAGATGTTTAGACTTATATTAAAAGAAGAGGGGAGGCTAAACAGTGGAAAACATGGAACCTTTGCGACTTTTTGCAGACATGTTGCTGCAACCAAATTCAAAATGAGCAAACATTTTTCCTAAAATGATGCATTTTTAAACATTTTATTTTTTCTGTGTTTTATTGTGAATTGAGATTTGCAAATTCCAGTTCCAGCATTTATATTTTAATTGCACTTTATATTAGTATGCATACAGTCATTCCTACACCTTCTCTGCAGCCATGTTTCTGTCTGCTTAAGCTTTATCAGTATCTGTGGTCTAGTTTACGTCATGCTGAACAACTTTGTGCTCACTTTTCTAAACTTGCATTGGTGTGAAAACATACCAGACCTAAAAAAGAGGCTGAAAACACAGGACTACCGCCTCACAACATGCAAGTGATAAAACTGTTTCCTTGTGACAAAAATCCCAAATAGTTCACCTCCACTTGTTAGTTAGCAGCTACAGTGTAACTACATCACTTCAGAATAAGACCTGCCCTAGGTAATACCATAATTGTCACTGCACATCTATTGAGTAATGTGTTTTTGTAAGGTAACAAAGGCAACAGAAAATATCCAACAATAACAGGGAGTGTCTGAGACTGAATGGTAAAATGACACGCAGGCAAAAACGCAGACCTCAGTCAGGTCCTGTTTACAGTCATCAGTTCTGTTGAGACTTAAAACAAGATAATGCGATCATTTTTTCCCATTTAGGAAGCAACTGGGGCACAGGGTCCCTTTACTACCGTGTATGTTGTAACCTCACTGCTGCCAATCTGTCAGGCTAAAGTTCTTCCTGTGCGCTGACTGATCAGCAAGGCAGGCGTGCCCTTTGTGAAGTTATCCGGGAAAAGAAATACATAACTTCTAACTTAACAAAGCTATTTCTTACACCTTGGAAAAAGTGACAGAAAACCACGTGTGTGATGCACTTGCCTAAAGCAGAATATGTGTGGCTGTCTGGGAGGGTTAAGGCCTGCTTCTCCAGCTATAGCTGTTAGAAGAAGATATTTAAATTTCTATCGCTAGCTGTAAATATATATATATATTAATAATAATAATGGATTGGATTTATATGGTGTGTGTGTGTGTGTGTGTGTGTGTGTGTGTGTGTGTGTGTGTGTGTGTGTGTGTGTGTGTGTGTGTGTGTGTGTTGCAGCAAGGGTTGCTCTTTTAGAGTGGGTTAATGTGTGTAAACGGGGTTTCCGGTGTCAACATAAACGCAAAACACAAAGATTATATATTTCAAAATATAAAGTCCCGTTTGTACTAAGACCCGTTTGTGTGGCCTTGTCAGGCGCCTTTTCTGCGCTATTCTGCGCCATGCTCGGCTGCAGCATCACCCGGCCTGCCCAGGACCTACCTGTGGTGGACAGCACCGTGCTGGCGAAAAACAGCGCTGAGGTGAAGTCCCAGTTCCAGTTGGCCGATGCGTTATTCAGGATGGATACCCCGTAATTGCTCGCCTCCAGCGCCTTCCTAAGAAACTGCTCCAGCCGCTCCTCGGAGAGGCAGTCATTTTCCTGGAGGAACTGCTTCTTAATGGTCCTCAGATCCTGCCGCAGGAGGTCTTCGTAGGGCAGCTCGACCGATGAGAAAACAACTGCGCCGAATATGAGATAGAGGAGGTAGCCCACCACCAGGGAGACGAAATACCACGTCGATTTGTGAGTCTGTATCAAACGCACACAGGAATTGCTGGCTAAAGACTGGAGCATTTTTAAGAGGTGTATCACACCGGTGTGATACTAAGCTACGTTTGTCTACGGTGTTAATTTGACCGTCTAACGTCCTAAATTGACAGCATATATCCTACACGCAGGGATGTAATAGAGACAAAGAGCAAAACGAGGAACCGCTTTCCCCTGACTGAAACCTGCCACTTGGTGCTTTCAAGTGCAGTCGGTAATCTCGACGTAATATCTTTACAAAAAGAGTGTTTATACTACAAACGCGTATCGAGTTGGTACGCTGTCGTCACTGGAGATCCTTTGGATAGATAAACCCCCCCCAAAAGGCACATTTCTAAGAGGCTGACTCCTAATCTAAGCGTTTAGCTTTTACTCAGTGGGGGAAAATCCGAGCTTCAAGCGCTTCTGAAGGCATCAAATGATGTGGCGACGACAAAGGGCGTGTGACGCAAGAACTTCCCCTTTCTCCCCCCGCAGGTAGCCGAGCCTGTCTTTCGATTTCTAGTCAAAACAATCGAGAGACGTCAGAAAAGACCACAGATGGCTGTCATGTTGGGTAGATGAAGAAACGCCCCAGTGTACCCACAGGGGGGCCTGGGGTTAACTGAGGCGTGGAGACTCAGGTCCCAAATGGCTAAATTATTATTGGCCCAGTTCTGTGACAGCCAACACTTACTTCTGTCCTACATACAGAATGACAGAATGACGGCCCATTGCTGGTCCACTCCTGGCTGCCAGATCTCAATCACATGAACTGAGGTTTGTGGTGACACAATACCTAAAATATCAAAGTTAAAGCTAATGCAGGTAGAATGGGTGTTACATCATTGTTATTAAAAATGAAACAAGAATATTTTGGAAGACATAACAACTAAATATGTCAAATAGAAGTGATATATCCAATAAGTTCCATTGTAAATATATATATATATCACCATCAGACAACATACAGTCGAAATACGCAAGGGCGACTACATCACAGTTGTACTTACTGAAGAGTGTTCTTTGCATTGATGACATAGAAAGGAAAAATACTGAGTCAAAGGTGTGGTATGGTTTACAACGATGCATCAACAGTCATTATGCATGGATTACCCCTGTCAAACTTCTGCTTTTGTTTCTTTAAAGTTACCTGCCCTTCGAAAATATGTTTTGCGTTACTCGAAGTGTTTTCCTGTCACACAGCATTTTTTTTTAAAGTTTTTCAAGTGTTTAAAAGTTTTTGCGGGATTGCTTGTACAATACACCGAATAAAATCAGATTATATAAAACTCTTCACTTTGTTTCCAACGCCTGAGCAATGAGTAGCTAAATCTTTAATTGCTTCTCTTTTTCCACAGAACAGGGGAGATCCTGGTCACGTAACTGAGACCGATGGGAGAGGAATGACAATAAATTATTTATTAAAAGACTATGCAATTAACCTAGGTTAACACAAATTCAAATAAGAGCGCCACCTATCCAAATAAGACCGGTAGAGCACCCAGATTCCATTTAATTTAACGTTTTCCATTGTAACAATGGAAAAAAATTACTAAATTTACATGTACTTAAATTGCATGAAATCATTATTTTGGGCATAAATAGTTAGTTTTGAGTGTATAAATACTGAGAACTGTGCACCCAGTTAAAAATTGGCATTTCTGATAGTCACTCAATGTTATTCCTGCATGAGGGCTCAGATTTTGCATCATACACACTTTGTAACAAGTGCAGGAATTACATTATATGATAGTGGACACGAGGAAGAAGAGGAGGCCTCATCAGCCGCTGTTAATCCAGGGCCTTGAAGTGGAGAGGGTGATCAGCTTTAGGTACCTGGGTGTCTACATCTCTGAGGACCTCACCTGGTCACTGAACACCACACAGCTGATCAAGAAGGCTCAGCAGCGGCTGTATTTCCTAGGGAGGCTGAGGAAATTTGGTATGTCGGCCAAGATCCTCAGCAGGTTCTACAGCTGCATTGTGGAGAGCACCCTGACCAGCTGCATCACTGCATGGTTCGGCAGCACTACTGCTATGAACCGCAAACACCTGCAGAGAGTGATAACAACTGCGGAGAAGATCATCAAGACTCCACTGCCCTCTCTGCAGAGCATCTACCATCGCAGAGTCCAGAGGTGAGCTGCCTCCATCCTCAAAGACCCCACACACCCCCAACACGGACTGTTCACACTTCTGCCCTCGGGGCGGAGGTTCAGAAGTGTGAAATCCACAACATCCAGACTCACTAACTCCTTCTTCCCCACTGCCATCAGACTCTTGAACAGCTGACCTTTTTTTGAACAGTAATAATAAAAATCTTTTGCACATCAAGTCATCCTGCAAATTAAGCCAGCATATTAAGCTAAAGCTCTTTTGCACACATCTCTGTTTCACATCTCCATATTTTGTCTGCTTTTCTGTCTTCATTCTGCAACATCGGCTGCAGACTACAGCTACAGGTACCTTGGTGTTCATCTGAACAATAGACTGGACTGGACTCATAACTCAGACGCCCTCTACAGGAAAGGGCAGAGCAGGCTGTACCTGCTGCGGAGACTCAGGTTGTTTGGAGTGGAGGGCCCACTCCTGAAGAAATTCTATGACTCTGTTGTGGCTTCTGCTATCTTTTATGGCGTGGTCTGCTGGGGCGGCAGCATCTCTGCTGGGGACAGGAAGAGACTGAACAGGGTGATCCGAAGGGCCAGCTCTGTTCTAGGATGCCCTCTGGACCCAGTGGAGGTGGTGAGTGACAGGAGAACGGCGGCTAAGCTGTCATCTCTGATGGACAACATCTCCCACCCCATGCAGCAGACTGTGACAGCACTGAGCAGCTCCTTCAGTGGGAGACTGCGGCACCCACGGTGTGGGACGGAGAGATTTCGCAGGTCTTTCCTCCCCACTGCTGTCAGACTCCATAATAAAGACTTTAACTGATCAAGCACACACATCCATACATATGCAATAATACTAAGTGCAATAATCCTTTCTGTCATCATTGTATTTTTACTCAGTTGTATATAGTATTTGTATTCTATTTTTATCTTATTGTATATTTATTTTATCTTATTCTACTGTATATAGTATTTTATTTTATTCTATTCTGTACAGTTGTGTACTGTATTTATTCTTATTGTATTCTAATTTTTGCCTCATAACTTTTGCACTGTCCACTTCCTGCTGTGACAAAACAAATTTCCCACGTGTGGGACTAATAAAGGTTATCTTATCTTATCTTTATTTATTTGTACTATTTGTATTTATATGTTCTATTTCTATTGTATATGTTAATCGGCATCTGTGGATGGACAGCAAAGAAAGAATTTCATTGCACAGAGAAATGCCTTTTTGCTTGTGACACATGACAATAAACACTTTGAATCTTGAATACAGTTGCATACATCCAATCTCCTAATAAAGCATTAATTTAAAAGATGAATTTATATCTTGAGGCTCCATGTTGTGTTTGCAAAATAAAAATATTTAACTACAATCTGAAATACAGCAGGGTGTTGATGCCTTGAGTTAGCAATATGTAGATAACATAATTATATCAGCTAGAAAGTAAACCGAGTGACAACCTTTGTACTCAGTTTGAGCACTCAAACCACTTTCTATTTCAAGTCTCATTCACACAATCCTTTTCCTTTACATCTAAGCACTTTTTCTTACATTCACACACAAACTCACTCTTTGATGGATGCAGTGGGGGTAACTTGGGGTTCAGTATCTTACCTGAGGATATATGGACTAGAGATCAAACCATCAGTCTGATTGGTAGACAACCTGCTCTACTACCTGAGCCACAGGCGCCTGATGAAGGATATTGAAGATGCTGCTGGGTTTGATATGAAACAGTAATAACTCTATTAGATGACATACCAGGTAATACTGGAACAGCAGAGCGAACAGTGGGCTACCAAGGTACACGGCTGCAAAAACTGAACGCAGAGAGCACAAATCTATTGTCACTGAGAGGCGAGGCATACCAGCAAGAGACCTGCAGGTGGCAGGCAAGAGTCAACAATTAGAAGGGCTTTCTTCAGTTCTATACAACCAAAACTGTTGCTGTCATTAGATTAAAACTGAGAAAGTAAAAATAATGACAGATCATTAGATCTTCTGCAAAATTAGCATTTTTTTTTAAATTTTTGTCTAACATATGGATCTCATTACATGAAATGTTTTCTTTAACCATATCAGCACCAACAGCTTCTGGGTGTTTTTGTTTGTTTGGATGGGGTTTTTTTGTTCCTGTTACACTTTTGCTCACAAAAGGTTTTTGTTTTTTTTGGTTTGTTTGTTTTTTTCTTACACCCCTAGAGACAGTTTACTTTACAAAAACTTCCTTAATCTTAACCTAACCTATTTTTACATGCAACATTTACTGGGAGTTTTTGTCACAAAATTAAAGATACTTAGTGTACATGAATGTACCGTTTTTTAGATGTTACCTTTATTTCTTCAAAAAAAAACAAGACGATTGATATGTGTAATCCTAATCATTTCAGGTACACACAGTCTCTTGTTCAACCTACTCCTTTACAGTATAATTGCTAACTGGGAGAATATGATGGGATTGTCCTGGATCACATTTTCTGCTAAAATTCTGCAGTTGCCGGTAATTATTTTAATTTAATTTAATTCCAGGATATTCTGTCTTATTTTAAAGGTAAAGAAAAAAAAACCCATTGTGGATAAAAGCTTAAGGAAACTGTCCTCATAAATATTGTGTTTACAGTTCAGTTGCTCAGGTCAGATGATTTATTTTCCTGCATCAGCAAATCCGTGACACCATGAGTAAGGCCAGTTCCTAATTTCACAAGGAACAGATGATCTCATGTTCTCATGCAAGTCAAAAGTAATAAGTTGCAAAAAAAAGCAGGATATCACTTTAAGTAATATAAAAAAGTTAGATATATTAAACACTCCAGTACAAAGACCAGAGAAAAAAGTAGAACTGAGCTGACTTTACTTTCATTTATTTTTTTTACATATAAAGAAAACTTTTATACAAAGACTATAGATTAAGATCTACATAATAATCCTATGCAAAAATAAACACTACATTTTATTTAAGTTGGTAAGCAAGGAAGTTTTCTATCAATGTGAATAAGAACATAACGATGTGCTCAGTGGATTCTAATTTTGACAACTCCAGGTTTCTAACTCGTGTTTTAATGTATTCTGACAGCAGACGTTTTTGTGTGTCAGCAGTTCACACTGAAGTGATTTCCTACTAAACTTCCAGCTAATAAAGCTGTGGTAACAATCCGGGATAAGCCTTATAACTTTATCATATGCTCTTGTACTCTCACAGATGGACAAGTACTGATGCAGACGGAGTTTGGGTTTGAGATTGGTTGGAATGATTTTTCTTAATTACATTATCTATAGCCATGCATGTTCTCTTGATGAGGCAAGAGATTC